GGCCTGAGGGCATAGCCGTTCTAGATGAGCCTCGCTTGATGGACAGCGTGCCTTTAGCATCCCAAGTGGGCACCAGCACATCGGGGTCGATCTCATCTCGGCTTAGCACCTCTGCGAGTGACTCAGCTCTGAACTCTCCGGTTTCTAGCTCATGTAGCTTCTTCTCGATGTACTCTTTCGCCGGCAGGTACTTGTCCTCTAGCTCGCCGAATTGCGTGGCAAAGGCCTGCCTTATAGCGATGTAGTCGGTCTGTGGGATTGGTTTAGCCCATTCCCTCAACTCATTGGCTGCTTCTGCTTCTGCTTGCGTTTTTGCTCTAGCCCTGGCAGTCTGCCATGCCACCACAAACGTGGCTGCTTGGGCTCGCATGCAGGGAGGCCGCGGGATCAATAGCAAAGCTGGTCTTGATGACGTCCTTTAGATCTTCTTCAGTGGTAGCAAAGGCCGCAAATTTAGCGACGGTGTCCACTCCACTGGCAAATAGCTCCCCTTGGTGCGCCTCCTGGAGACCATGCTGCGTGAGGAGGTAGCGGAGGTCCGAGGAACCTTTAGCCAGTTTGGCAAGAAAAGGGGAAAAACAATAACAACTCAAAGGATGCTCGAGTGAGGCTAGCCCCCAAAATATCGGTGGCATTCGCTATCAACGTAGCACCACCAGGGTCGGGCGGGAGGGTTCAAAGGGCCCCACCTCGCACTAGCTCTACGAGCATGTTCGGGCTCTCACTCTAGCTCTCTCCCCCCTTCTCTCACAATCACTCCCCTCACGCACGCAGCCCCACACAACTTAGCTCCGTAAGCGGTGGATGCGGCCGCCCTTTTTCCTCTAGCGCACTAGCTCGGGGTCAGCCCGAAATAGCCTGCCCGCGTCCGCCGCGACGGCAGTGATCGCACCTATGGCGCGAATGAAAATCAATAGCAAACCACATTCTTCTGTTGCAGAAGTTGCGGTAGCACCCCTCGCATCTAGCTATGCAGCGGAAGACATAGCCTGTCGTCTCCCAGCGGCCGAGGCCAAAATGTTTCCGGGATTTTAGCCACTAGCTGCTGTCCTCTAGCTGTTCCGCAGTGCACCTCCAGCACCTCCGTGTACGTAGCTCTCTCCAGCCAGACCAGGTCAGTAGCATCGGTGACCTTGCCCTTGCCGTAGCCCTTGGTAGCGCGCAGCTCCTCGTAGCGCCGCTGCAGAGGCGAGTCCTTGCTGAAGGAAGCCATGGCTCGGGTCGCACACTAGCCCAGGAGATCTCGATGAGCGAGTTCTCCTCACCTAGCGGCCGTCCCTCTCCCGAGGACCCCAAGGGCGGGGGCATCTTTAGCAGGATGGGCACTCGGTTGCCATCTCGTCGACGTAGCCTGCGCCTCGTCTAGCTCGTCGGCGGTGACCTTGTTTGCCCCATGTAGCGTGCTTGCCGACGTAGCCGTCCCCTCCCGTGTCGGTGCCGTTGTTAGCTGCACCCCGGCTGCCTGTAGCGTCCGGAGGTCTGGCGTCCGGGAGCGCCCTCCGTAGCCCAGGCTGCTCTGGCCCCGCAGCGGGTGTAGCGGAGCTGGCCGCAGTTGTTGTGGATGCCGGTCTTGTAGCATCCGCTGGCGGCTCTTCTGCTGTCACCGTAGCCCTTGCTGTTGCCCTCGTCTGTAGCCGTGAGGACAGAAAGTTTAGCTCGGCCAGTGTCAGTGCCATCTTATGGCGGTTGGGTAGCGCGTCAAAGGTGTAGATCCTGGATAGCCTCGCCATCGCTGCTGCCGACAGGCCGGCGTAGCTTTGGGGGTCCACCCCTTCCGTCCGCTGCGTCGCAGCCGGGCGTTTCTAGCCACGGACACCAGCTGGGGCAGGAGCTGCATGCCTAGCCCTTGGCGCAAGGCCGTCTCTAGCTCGTACGGGAAGGCAGCCAATTGGTGTGCCAGCACTAGAACTGTGAGTTCTAGCTCGCGGACCTCGTCCTCTGTCATGCGGCTAGCACTCATGGCTCGCAGTGTAGCCTACAATCTTTCACCGGGCTCTAGCCCGTTGCTGCCAACAAGTGGCTAGCGGAGATGGAGGTTGACTCATTTCACTGCCTTCACCTCAAATAGCCCGCCTTCAACCCCCCCAACACCGAAGAACGGAACCCGAAAGGGGGGGGGGAGGAAACCACGGGGAAAGAAGGAAGCCTAGCCCTCAAGTGCTTTGGCTTGCTCTGGCTAGCAGTTAGCAGGCTTCAATGCAGCAACCGGCATGTAGCACAACCGAGGCTTGGGCTTGCTTCTTTACGGCTCTAGCAGGCTTCAACGCACACGCCGACTGTAGCCCTGCCCACTGCATGCACACACGCGACATTTTCTAGCCCCAGCACTCCCCCCAGCCCACCCCACACTTACCCGGTGTTGCCAGGGAAGTTGGGGAACAGGGAAGGCTCCAGCCCCACCCCCCCACACTCTAGCCACTCTGGGACCTCTTCGAACTGAGGTTCCGGGATAGCTGCTCCAGCAGCACCCCCCCAGGTTCGTCCTCTGAGTTCGGCTTGGACTGGTCGCTGAGACGAGCGTCGCTACCTTCCGGGTCTTTAGGTTGTGGCCAGCATAGCTGGCTTCAGGCCTTAGCTCGAAGCACTGGCAGCTTCTGAAGGCTCTACGCCTGCCCATCCAGCACCCTGCCTGTCCGGATCTGTGTAGCCGAAAGATGCCTCCAGGTTGCCCCACGATCACGTAGCCTTCGGAGCGATCTTCTTGAACTTGTAGCGCTTCACCTTCCTCAGAATCTTCAGCGTCTCCGCCGGGTTGCTCCGAGGCGGAGGCCTCCTGGATTGGGATTTCCCAGACCCAGTCCGGATAGATCTCGGGTAGTCCTCTCCAGGTTTGCACCAAAGATCGTGCCAGTAGCTCTGCCATTTCCAGTGTAAGCCGTCTGCGTTCCACGAGCCAGGATCTTAGCTCATGCCCGATCTCGCGCTCATCCAGGTCGAATTTCCTGGCGGCCGTAGCGAAGCGGTCCTGTAGCTTCGCCACCCTTCCCGCATAGGTCCGGGCGTAGGTGTCCGAGCCTTCAGGTTTCCACCTTCCTAGCAGGTCTCTGTCCTGCGGAGCAGTGTCCAGCAGTGAGAGACCTGTCGGCAGTACTGCTCTTTCAGAGTGCTCTGTCCAGTAGCCATGAACTTCCATAGACCCCCACATAGCCAAGCCGTAGCCACCATCGCATCCGCGTAGCTCGCCATCTTCTTCCCCAGGCCTCCATCTTCCGTCAACTTCGGCAGAAGGTAGTCCCGCTTGTAGCCAGCAGAGGATCGGAGGAGGTTGAATCCTGTAGCAATCCATCCACTCTGTTCCAGGAAGGATCTCTCCGAAACACAGACCTGCAGCTGCTTGACACGCTTTGTAGCTCCTGAGGTTTTCGTCCTTCTTAGTATCGTCTGTAGCCTCCCCTCCACCAGGTTCAGCTCTGCTGGGAGAATCGATTGGAGGTCGGACCATCGTAGCGAAGCCCAAATCTTCACCAGCTTAGCCCAAGCCCATACCCTCCAGCCAACGGTGTTGTCCGAGCCCATGACCACCCTCTCGAGGCCGAGCACCAGGTAGACTGGATAGCGGGGAGCCCGTCGTGTCACCGGAGCCTCGCTGGAGAGTTCCACCAAGATGGTATCTTTGATAGCCCAGGCTATCCTGCTTCCCGTAGCCCGTTGCTCCAGGGGGAACTCTGCCACCTTTTCCAGCCAAGCCACCGCCTTCATGATTAGCTCTGGGATCGTGCGTCTGCAAGGCTCGTCCGCTCTAGCAAAAAGGTAGTCGCCGAGATCGATCGCCGTAGCAGGTGGCATTTGTTTCTTGGTTTGGGCTAGCCAGAGTCTCCACTGGGTGTACGTAGAGACGTAGCGTTTCAGCGTAGATGACCTTGTGCTTCCCACAATAGCATCCAGCGCACGGGTCGGGTCAAGACTGCCTTGGATCTTCAGGATGACCGGGGCGTTAGTTTTATGTAGCTCATCCTGCAACCTCTGTAGCCAAATGCCCAACAGTCTCTTCTCTCTTGCTGTAGCAACCGCCTCGTCTGTGACCCTGTAGTGGTTCCTTTCTCCAGGTGGCGGATGCGGCGGATGTAGCACAGGCTGTGGTGTTTGATCTTCCTCCCGTCTTTGTAGCTTGGTTGGGGGAATCAAGCTCATCCACCTCAGGTCGTCCGCCAGGTAGCAGGTCGCCCTCTTCCGGACATCTGCTTCCGCCTTAGCCTCCTCAATCCAGACGCTGACGCAGCGAATGAGGTAGGGTCCCCATGGAACCGTTGGTTTTAGCTCCCGCCTCACTTGGCGTGCTATAGCTTCGCTCTCTTCCAGGCTCATAGTTGCCAGCTCTAGAGGGCCCAGGCCTTGTGAAACCAGGTGGTCATAGCATCTATTCCTTTCACTAAGTCTTTCGCCTTCACTTAGCTCTTCCCATGGGTCCGGAGAACCCTGCTCCGGAAATCCCTCGTCTAGCCCTTGAAGGCTCTGGGGAGAGGGGGACTCTCCATCGCTCATGGCGAGCGGGTCCTACAGCGGCGCTCCTAGCGCCGAATCCCTTCCCCTCCCCACTTTGAATTTGCCCCCCCCTTTTTCCTTGGGGGCCTTGTAGCCGAAAACGGCCACGAGCCTTGTTCTCATTTGGCGGCCCCCCCTATAAAAAGGAGTTGCTTGTAGACATGTAGCTTTGCTCATGTGACATCATGAAAGCAACTAGCACCAGTGACACAGCTGACTGCATGCACATGTAGCTCACGCGTGTCACAGCGGCAAATTCTCGACATGAGTGTTTAGCTCCTCTTTTGGGGATAAACATGTCATTTAGCCCTGCAGAAAACACTCTCTGCATGTGGGGCTCTCACGCTCTAGCATCCCTCCCTCTCTAGGGTGGTGATAGCGTTTCAAAAGGACTAAAACACCTTCGATGTTTTAGCAGCGAACCGAGAGGATGGGCTAGCATACACGGTCGTAAACAGCAAGCTATTCACGAGTGCGAAAACGGCCAAACTCGCTCATCCTGAACTTGGGGCATCTGC